TTGCTTAGAGGGATTTCACTCTTGTACGGCCACATTACTCCACTGGATATGGGGCGTAAAATTCGATTAGACTGACATACGATTATAAGGTCTGTTGAACCGAAAGTCATCGGTTTGTGCAGCGTGACACAGTGGCGCTGAAAAAACGAGGTCGCATCATATAAGTGCAACGGTTCGCTGGGTCGTGTGACTTCGCCGTTAAAGGGTGGCTATTCCTCAGCAGTGAGTGAGGAGGCTTCTAGCAGAACCTCTGGGAGTCAACACGGCAATGTTTTCCGTCGCTCGAATGCAAATGGACCAAGGGCAGCAGATCCTCAGCGTCATGCCTCAACGATCGCTGCGACCTCGCATACATGAAAGCACTGAAGATTTATTACCGCTGGCGTTTTCTTCCTCGGTGACAATTGCGCAACTTCCCTGTAGTCGATCGACGTCGTCGCTAGAGGTTGAGGTCTTCTTCTGGCATTGATTGGAAAACGCCAGCGAGCAGAAGGGCGTTCAGACTTGTCAATGGCGTCCGACAATCGCACTTTTGTCGTTCGCCCACTTTTGAAGGATTTGAGTGCCTCGTCTGCGGCATGGGTTGTTTTCAAACGACGAATCCCCAGTATTGAAGAGATCCCGGGACTGCAGTTCAACAACCACCGACGGATCGATAACTGCGTTCGTTTCCTTGTGTAATAGTGCTTCCGAGTTCGATTGAACGGTCGTTTGCAATGCATTTACGCGTTTAACGGCCACTTGATGTGATGGGCCATTTAAAGGTTCTTTGATGCAGATCTCGTTGCGTTTGGATCGCTGCAGAAACCACATGCCGGTGACCGGTCGACGTCGAAGCAGCAGCGGTTCGGTAGGTAGTACAGTACGCTCAGTGGCGCTTCTCCCCACATGTCACATTTGAAGGAAAACGGTAGGTGCGGCCTGCTGCTTCGGCTGTTCCCACAGCAGGTCATCGATATGTTTCAAATAATATTTCTGGGTCAGAAACTTATACTCGCTAAAACGATGCGATGATTCTATGGCTTTCGCTACGTCAAAGTAGCGAGTTCACGTCTTACTTAGACCGATCATTAATTAGCGATCGTAATGCAGAACACCCCAATTTTCTTTCATGTTATGATAGCTCGTTAATTAGGCGTCGTATAGTAGTATATGCT